TCCTCCTTTAAGGCAACTCACGGTTGGAAACTTCTAACCATAAGTGCAACCTTTTGGAAATTACGCGTGAAACTACACGATACAATAAAATGGCATGAGCATTCAAACTAGAAATAGGAATAATTTCGGGTCGACAAGCTTTCTTTGGATCACCTTTTTGTAACAATGTAAGTCAAAAAAGAAAAGGTAGAAAAAGAGGTGAATATTGTAGGTAAGAATGAAAAAAAAACATGCCTTGCCCTCTGGTCTGTAGTTATTATTGAACTCCTGATTCCATCCCCGTAATCCATCAGCACGTCTAGCTGCTGCTGAAATAATGCAAGCTGAAGACCACCCATGAAGCTTTACTACACAAGCATCACTGGTGGATAGCTACAAAGACAAGGAAAAATACTTATGCGACAAACATACCTCCTGCCTGAGGCTGCTGCTTCACGTCAGTGGGAGTAGTGCGAGGAGATGCGCTTGTGCGCGGTTCTAGTAGAACTAAAACTTAATTTTAGTAGAGATGCCAATTAGATACAGATATAGTGGATCTTAAGACACCAAAATCCGATACCAACCTTTTGAAGACTGACTCTGGCTCTTGTTCTCATATGTCCTAGATGTCTGACCCTGTGACGAATCCCTACGCGGATTTCCCTCCTTGCTGATTGAAAACTCTATAAACACAATGCTTGAGTGGGGACGGTATGCCTTTCAGAGAACACAGCTCAACAGTTGGACAAGTCTTGAATTTTAATGGAACGAAACCCCAAAGTGAAGTAGACAAGTCAGGGTGTACTCCTCAAATAGTAAAGGGAGAAGGAAAGCACTCACAAGGAGATTAGTACAGTAACCTTGCACGTTCAGACCGAGTGGAAAATAGCACACATACCTTCTCCCCTCCACCCCACCCCCTCTATCCGGAATTAGCCATGTTCTTTGGCTACATGGTCTCCAGTTTGGCATTGATAGTGCTGAGGCAGATGAGTTCCAGCTGATGTCTTTTAGCGTCTGCGCTATACCTTTTGCGACATAAAGCAGAGGGGAAGTTCAGGTAATCAAGTAACCAAGTTGACAGGCGACCAATTAATCATGAATTTTGACTTGTTTTGTTTGTTAACTGCTGTTTTAACGCCGCAGTTCGCGTTGCGAATGTTTCACAAGAATGCTGGGTTGTGAACAAAACTTTCGCCCCAGGCGGGACTAGAACCCGCACCTCTCGCTTTCCGGGCAAGTGCGCTACCAGTTACGCTACCGGGGCACCATTTCATCCCAACTCAGCTTTTCATGGTATACGTACCATAGCTTTCAGCACTCACACGTCTAACGTGTTGAGCCGGTTAGCCGATATCGGCAATGACCGCGAGGCTGAAAGCTTTAGCAATGAATTTTGACTTGTTTTGTTTGTTAACTGCTGTTTTAACGCCGCAGTTCGCGTTGCGAATGTTTCACAACCCAGCCATTCTTGCTGAAACACAATGGTACTTAGCATTGTAGTTGAAAGCTATGGTACGTATACCATGAAAAGCTGAGTTGGGATGAAATGGTGCCCCGGTAGCGTAACTGGTAGCGCACTTGCCCGGAAAGCGAGAGGTGCGGGTTCTAGTCCCGCCTGGGGCGAAAGTTTTGTTCACAACCCAGCATTCTTGTGAAGCAGGACTCATTAACTAAAAACTACTGATCGCTAACTGATGAACCAACCCCCGCCGTGGAAGTGAGATCATCCGTTTCTTTTTGCGCTCAGCAGAGTTACCAAAGTCAGAGGTAGCCTTCTCCTTTGAACCAGTTGGTTCAATATGTAGCACTGAAGTCGTGGTTGCTGGTTTGAGGAAGGGCATGAAGGAACTGGCCATAGAAAACAAAACAACCATATCCAAAAAAGAGCTGATAGCGAATATGTTACGAAACACCAAGATTCTATCCATCCCATTTCTTTCGTAAATTTAGAAGAACAAATGCACAAGCAACGTACCATTGAAACTGTCTTGAAGCTCCTGTGCTGAAGGACGACCTCTCGACTCGTATTTATTGACAGGCATTCCTCTATTTTGTGGTGAGCTCACACTGTGTGGTTGAGTGGAATAACGACCAGTCGTTCCACCACCTCTCCCTTAATAGAAAATGCATGAGAAATGTAACTCAAAAAGTTGCATTTATGCAAAAGGGACATAATCAAAGACCAAATCTCAAAATGTCTAGACGAAAAAAAAAACAAGATTTTCGTCTAGACATTGGAAATGAACTGCAGATTAAGATTATTGGAGAAGTGCAACTCACTACAACACCTCAAATCGATTCACTTACTCTCAAGCCCTCCTTTCATAACATCTGCGCGACGATTTCCCATCGCTGGACCACCTGCACCGTTGCGCTGATTACGAATGTTGAAGTTGCCGCTGAAATTATCGACGTCTACACAATTCATCAGCAACAAATGAGATTCTTGTTGGCAGTTATGCATGCATCACACATGCTTTGTTGATTCAGTACTAAGCGACTACCAATCAATAGGTTAGCGATTCATGAGACCACTTGCAGACATCGAGATTTCCAAACTGAGGCTCGGGTGGTGATCGCATCACCTAGTTGAAGTGATGACAGCTACAAGAAATTCTCAGAACCTAGTGATTTCATTGTATCATTTTTCGAGTCTTTTTCAAGATCGTCCTCAAATTTCACCAACATTCACGAAGAGTTAAAGGTCGACCACGATATCACACAAATACTGTCTTCAAAACATCAAAATACCGAATATCTGTAGGTCTGTTCCGCATTTTTTCTTCTGTTCGACATTGAAAGATACTACACATTTCCTTACCTACTTCTAAGCGCCTCTGAAAACCGAAACAAGGTCTCACCTTCCCGGAGCTAACAAGAGGGCAGAAATTAGTAAGAGACCATAAAAAACCATGCGTGACTTCACATTCTGAGAGATATTTTCTTAGAACTGGGGCCAATATGGCGACTGCGGGGTCTGAGGCAAGACAAAAAAATGAACCAAAAAAAGAAATAAAAGCAAAAAAATACTAATTATTTTTTAGCTTCTGCTATGTTTTCCATGCAATCACCAATCTAGAAAATCCCGCAGTGGGCTACGTAAGGAGCTGTGAAAATAACTTCGGTCAGAATCATTTCTAGCGTTTTTGGCTATCTACCATTATATGTGAAGATTGTCACTACATGAATAACTCAGCAAGACAATTGGAGGGTTTATTCAATATGGATTGTGAGCACCTTTTCATGATCTATTTTTGTTCTCGTACAGAAGCTCGAAATGAGGAAGGCGAGAAAAATGCTCACCGCTGCCCACCACCGCCACCTCCTCGTTTAGACTGCAACTCGAAATCTTCCTCAGTGGTCTGCTTGTCGAGATCGCGCTCATCGTCGTCGTTCTCAAGCCGAGCGTTGAACTTGCTCTGCTGACTATTCTCGATTTCTCTTGCAATCTGATCTGCACGGCGACGATCCTCTTCGTTCCCTTCCACCGGGGCTCTGTAATGAAGTTTTTGAACGGATCAGATGACCAACCACCTTCGCTATTAAACAACAAAAAACACGATACATCTCTCAGAAATAATTTCACAGTGAAATGTAAATAGCTCACTATACCGAGCAATTTTTGGAGGAGTCAAATAAAGGAATGATGAGTCGAATCTACCAGTGTCTAGCGATCACATTCGTAGATCCCACCCATTTTCAACAGCATGTCCTTCAAACCAGTTGAAATTTTGATAAGAGTTGAAAATAGGTTCCATCTTACAACAGACACACTTACCAATCTCATGTGTTATCTTGAGACAGTATATACATGGGGTATTATAACGGCCCAACACGAGTTCCCAGGCCTGACAGACCCCTATGAAGGTTCCAAAACTTATCTTCGCCTCCAACGAGCTAATCCCTCCTCCATCCTGCCCGCGAATCCCCAGAAAACCAAGAGGGTAAGGGTACATGGCGCAACCGAATGAGTGAATTTACATAACATATCTGGAATTTCCCGAAACTCCTTATATTTCGACTTAGTTCAACTCTACTGTCTGTCTACCCACTAGGACCCTCACCTCAAAAATTTCATTGAGGAATCCTTGAAGTTGGCTCAGTCTGTAGATCTGCCTCCTTGTTACACACATTTTATTGTATACTATATTATGACATTCACACCTGAAGGTACCCTCAGAATTACTTGTCTCTGAACGCCTTTTCTCGACACGTTCGGAAAAGCGAAAAAATTTGACGGCCTCCCACGCCCAGGATAAGGAGAATAACATGTGGCTCAGGTGTTAGTTTTCACGTGCATCTGACCGCC